AATTCACAATAAAACCGTTCATGTTTCATTATTTTCTCAAACAGAAAAATGTAATCCCAATGTCGATGTCGCCTTCCTGATCGACTCTTCAGGGAGCATCTCTGGCAAAAACTATAGGAAATTGAAAACATTCGTGGCAAACTTGGCCGCAAACTTCAACATTTCTCCACGGGGATCCCGTGCGGCCGTCGTCCTCTATAGCACAGGTGCGTCTACGGACATCAAGTTCACGGACTTCACCAGTTCTGAGTCATTTGGTAGAGCTGTGCAACAGTTGAGACATCACCGTGGGTTCACTAGGATCGACCTCGCCCTTCAAAGGGCTTATTATGATTTGTTCAGTCCACGAGCTGACTCACGATATGATGTGCCAAAACTTGCCTTCCTGCTCACTGACGGAGAACAGACGCCAAGCCCTGGTGCAATACCTCTGGATAGAGCAGCTAGGTTTCTCAAAAATGAAGGAGTGCGACTTATCACGATAGGAATTGGAAAGAATGTGAAAGAGGAAGAACTAAAGTCGATTGCCAGCAGCGACAAGGATGTCATTTTAGCCGAAACGTTTGATGGCTTGTTAGAGGAGGTGGAGCCATTAACTAAGAGCGCTTGTGAAGGCTTTGAGTGTAAGTTCCCAAAGAAACATAAACACACTTTTTTTGTTGTTATAGTTATAGTGACATGATAATAGTTGTAGTGACATGATAATAGTTATAGTGATATGATAATTACATGGCAAAATCACTTGCAAGTTTTGTGACAGACGACTGAGGATAAAGCAACCAATTCAAGATCTCTTTTATCGACAATTTGAAACGATGGCAACAAAAACCCTTGACCCACTATAAAGCTTGACACAGTTTTTACCCCTGCTCTTACTAATGCGACTAAGCATTGGCCCAAACGTAAGATTACACCCCAAAAACAAACATGGCGCCGACACATGCAATCCGTACTAGCGCTATCTGGGATAATTTCGTCTCAAATGGGAATATTTCTCGAGAAACTCTCCTCTGAATTTTACGAAATTTGGCAAGAAAATACTTTGGAAAATAAGTAAGTAGATTATGGAAAATAATCTGACATTACAATACAATTAAGAAATTCTAAATACTGCAGTTATTCTGATAATTAAAATTCTCTCTGTTTAACTGTTATAAATAAAAATAGCATTTCAAGAATAGTTTAACGGGAATTGTTACAAGGTTGTTGCTTGTCTATGATTCAGAAAATCTAACGACTAGATTTTTTGCAATTGTACGAAACATGGTTTTAAGGGGCTGTTTATCCAAATAAAAGGCTGTGCTGTTAACCTACATCCGGCCATTTTGGGGCCAAAAGGATAAAGAGTTTTAGGAAAATGGCGACTGAATCAGACTGAGATATCAAAAACAACTGTGCTCGACCGCCTTAACTGCGCCAAGTTTACTTGCTTATAAAAGTAAATTTAATGCTGATTCATAACAACCTTATGCTGGCCTTCACGAATACAAACCAGTACAAAAGACTTGGCACTATGAGTTTATGAAGAATCATGAAACAATTCACTTAGTGCAATTCATTTATTTACTTTTCAAGGTAGCATAAATAAGTGTTTACCCGGGTGCAGTTGGCGTTGTTTCTACCCAATTTGAAACAATTCAAACATGGTGACAGTTAAAAGGAACTTTAGATGGGGTGGTGTTTTCCCCGGGGGGACTCCCACATAAAAAGGGCGGGGGTGCTCGTCGTACCTTTTTGGTGTTAAAAGGGCGGTTTTAGTACCTCTTAGGGTGTTCAGCCTCAAAAGCTCCACAGCGGCAGCTTTTGAGGTACCTTTTGCGGTACCTTTTGTGGTATCTTTTCTGGTACCTTTTGTGGTA